CGGAGAGTGTGGAGCCTGCTTGGGATTCTCTCTCTCTCTGCCTCTCTCTGCCCCCCTGCCCCACTCACTCTGCCTCTCTCAAATAAATAAATTTTAAAAGTCTAAAAACTTTAACCAACTAGCCAATAAAATCCTAAAAATAAGAATAAAACTGGGGTGCCTGGGTGGCTCATTCAGTTGAGCATCCAACTTCAGCTCAGGTCACGGTCTCGTAGTTGGTTCGAGCCCTGCATCAGGTTCTGTGTGCTGACAGCCTGGAACCTGGAGCCTGCTTAGGATTCTGTCTCTCTCTCTCTCTCTCTCTCTCTCAAAAGTAAACATTAAAGAAAATTAAAAACAAAAAAGAATAAAACCAAGGACTTGTAGCCACCCAGAACCCGGCTCCACTATTAAACACTATTAACAGCACCTCTGTTTCTTTATCAGTTAGGAAACAAACACTACCTTCCTCGGATGGTTGCTTTGGGCATTAAACGAAATAAGACCTGACACTGAGAACAGAGTCTGGCACTTACTCATCTTCCCGTTGGTGTCAGCTCTGTTGCTGCCATCACTTTCATTATCCCCACCATGTTCTGTGCTCTCCGCCTTGCCGGCAGGTACTTGTCCCCCATGGGACCCACATGAGGCTGGAAGTTCAAGGAGGTGGTCTGCCCACACCACCCACGTGCCCAGTGGCCAAGCCTGCGGGAGAGCAGGTCTGCCTGGCTCCAGAGCCCACATGTCTGCTCCACACCCCACAGCCCAGATCTCACGTTCACAGACAAGGAGGCCCTTCCCAACCACCCCTGTTGGGGGATTGTAACGCCATCGTGTATGTGATATGTGCAAACCTGCAGTGTGCCCAGTGCCCCGCACAGGGAGCCAAGGGCTGTGCCAGATAATTCCAGAAGTCCCCAGTCACCATTCCCGCCTGCATGGATCAGCACCGAGTCCCGCGGGCTTCTGGGCCCGGGTGATAGCTACATGCCCGGCAGGTGATGCCCACCAGCACCGCAGAAGCGAAGGGACCAGGTGCACCCCATCTACCCATGACCCTACGGCCTCATCACTTTCACAGGAGGCTGGAAAGTGTGTGGAATTGGGGCAGAGACCACACTCAATTGCAGCCTCCTGTGTGGGCCTGCTGCTCCAGGGCAGTGCCCCCAGACGCTCCAAGTCTTTGTCTACACCATGAGTGCCGAGGCTGGGTCCTTCCTAGCCCAGCCCTGGCAGCTCATGTCGTGGTTTCACGGTTCGTGAGTTTGAGCCCCGCG